AAAGCTTTCATCCATCTAGAATTTTTTAGTTAAATGGAATGAGATAAGGATCTCTATTAATAATTTTTCAGATTGCTACCTCAGTGCCCCAGTGCCATTTTTGAATGATCTATCCTTTTATCCACTAATTTAAAATGCAGTTTTTATCATGCACCAAATTTCCTTATGTGTTTGGCCTGTTTCTGTAGTCACTATGCGGTTTCAGCCCCAATGCCATTTTTGAATAATCTATCCTTTTATCCACTGATTTAAAATGCAGTTTTTATCATACACCAAATTCCCATATGTGTTTGGCCTGTTTCTGTAGTCACTGTGTGGTTTCATTCATCTTTTTTACTATTTGCACAGTAAAACCAAACTAAAAAAACAATTGTCGTTGATTTGATTTCAGCTCATGGCAATGCCTTGTGTGTCACAGTAGACCTGTGTTTGCTCCATAGGGTGTTCAATGTCTGGCTTTTCAGAAGTAAATCACCAGGCCTTTCTTCCAGCACATCTCTGGGTGGATTTAAACTTCCAAGCTTTTAGTTAGCAGCTAAGCATGTTAACTGCTTACACCACCCAGGGACTCCAAAATCAAACTAGAGCTTTATAATATTTTAATATGTGATAGGACTGACCCTCTCTAATAGCTCTTGAGTTTTCACAATTTTTCTAGAGATGATCAAATGTTTAGTTTTATGTGGATTTATTGTTAGCTTGTGTAGTTAAGATCATGTTAGTATTTTTTATTGAGATCACAATGTAGGGAAAATTGCCATCTTTGCAACATGAGTATTTCCCCAGTAATAAGGTAGGCTTTCCAACTTTTTAGTTTTCTAGTATGTCCCTTGGTATTCTTTTTTGTTGTTGTTGTTGTTGAAAATATACACAGCAAAACATGTATCAATTCAACAATTTTTACATGTACAATTCAGTGACATTGATTACATTCTTCGAGTTGTACAGCCACTCTCACCCTCCTCCTTTTCTGAGTTGTTTCTCTTCCATTAATATGCTCACTGCCCCCTAAGGTTCCTGTCTACTCCTCGAGTTGCTCTTGTCAATTTGATCCCCTATAGATAGTTCTTAAAAGAGCATAATGTTCAAGGCAGACATTTTTTACTAGTTAAGCTAAACTATTGTTTGATTGAATAGGATAAAAGGTTTAATTTGCCATCACTTACCATGGATAGCCCTCCATATTTTATAAATTAATACTAAAGCAGAAATGCTAAAGTATATTCAAATCTAACTCATTTTTTTTTCAAAATTCCCAATAATTTTATATAACCCTATTGATGTAGATTTCAGTTCTTCCAATACTACGTACAAAGTCCATTAATAGTATATTTACAATGTCTTTCCAAGTGTTTGCCGACATGATGCCCCAGTGTTCTTTAACACTCCAGTATGTATTTCTGGCAAATTTTATGTTATATATATATTTTGCCCAATTAAAAAAAAAAAATGAGTGCACACCGATATCTCCAGTTTCAGTCTAACACCAGAGTTTATTCTAACCTTCTCCCTTTCCATACTTGTACGTCTTTTTTTTTTTTTGTTAACATTTTATTGTGCTTTAGGTGAAAGTTTACAGAGCAAATTGGTTTCTCGCTCAAAAATTTATACACAAATTGTTTCATGACATTGGTTGCAATTCCTGCAATGTTTCAGCACCCTCCCCCTTTCCACTCCAGGCTCCCTGTTTGCGTTCATTTAGTTTTCCTGCCCCTTCCTACCTTTTCATCTTTGCTTTTGGGCTGGTATTGCCAATTTGGTCTCGTATACCTGATTAATCTAAGGAGCATGTTCCTCACGGGTATTATTGTTTGTTTTATAGGCCTGTCTAATCTTTGGCTGAAAGGTGAACTTCCAGAGTGGCTTAAGTTCTGAGTTAGAAGGGTGTCTGGGGGCCATAGTCTCAAGGGTTCCTCCAGTCCCTATCAGACCAGTAAGTCTGGTCTTTTTTTGTGAATTTGTATTTTGTTCTACATTTTTCTCCCACTCCACCCGGAACCCTTTATTGTAATCTCAGTCAGCGTGGTCAGTGGTGTTAGCTGGGCACCATCTAGTTCTGGGCTCAGGCTGGTGGAGGCTGTGGTTTATGTGATCATTAGTCTTTTGGACTAATTGTTTCCTTGTGTCTTTAGTTTTTTTCGTTCTCCTTTGCTCCGGATCGGATGAGACCAATAGGTGTATCTTAGATGGCCTCTCGCAAGCTTTTAAGACTCCACACACTACTCACCAAAGCAGCATGTAGAACATTTTCTTTATGAACTATGTTATGCCGAACTACCTAGATGTCCCCCTCTTTTCTTGAAAATTAAAAACGTATCTCCCATTTCCCTCAATATATTTAGTTATTTGCTTAATTCCCCTGTATGTAACCCATCTTCTGACCATGCAGTCCTTCCTTCAGTCCTGATGCCACTAACTCAGGCTGGTACAACCAGCATATCTGCTGCTTACAAGAAATGGAAAATCTTAGTCCCCACCCAAGGCCTACTGAATAAATCTGCATTTTAATAAGATTCTCCAGGTGATCCTTATGCATGATAAATGAGAAGTACCGCTTTAGATTACTTACATTGCAATCATCTGGGGAATCATTTGAGCCACCAGTAAAAATTCAGATCTAGGATCCCAACTCTAAGCTTTCTGAATCAAAAACTGTTATAAAATCTTCATTATACTGTGTAATGGATTTTTTAAAAGGTAAGTATCCAAGAATATTCACAGTTTTAGATTTGTAAGCCTTAAAAGGTTTATGAATTTAATCAAAAGGAGGTTGTTTTGGGCTATTCTTTTTCATTATCAATTTTTTATCCCACTTCTTCCACTTTCTTTATTTACTGTGTCATTTTCAGGCATTCTCTCTTTAAATATTTTTTTCTGCTCCTTTCCTCTCCTTCTGGTACTTTATCATGTGTATACTAATGCACTTAAGGTGTCCCACGTTCCTCAGAGACTATTCATTTTTCTTCATTTGATTTTCTCTGTTCTTTGATTGCATAATCTTTATTGATCTGTGTTCAGGTTTGCTGATTCTTTATTCTAACAATTCTAATCTACTATTGATCCCCTCTAGTGAATTTTTCATTTTGGTTATTGTACTTTTCAATTTCAGAATTTCTAGTTGGTTCTTTATGTGTGTTTTTAATTTTTATTATGGTGACATATATATAACATAAAATTTGCCATTTTAACCGTTTTTAAGTGTACGATTCAGTGACATTGATTACATTCACAGTGTTGTAAAACCATTACCACTATCTATTTTCAAAGCTTTTTCTTCACCCCAAACAAAACTCACTGCTCGTTAAGCAATGACTCCTTATTTCTTCTTCCCCGCAGCGCATGGTAACCGCTAATCTGCTTTTGTCTTTGTGCATTTGCCTATTCTAGATATTTTGTATAAGTGAAATGGTACAATATTTATCCTTTTCTGTCTGCCTTCTTTCACTTAGGATAATGTTTTCAAGGTTCATTCATGTTGTAGCATGTATCAGAACTTCATTTCCCTTTATGGCTAAATAATATTCCACTGTATGTATACACCACATTTTGTTTATCCATTTACCTGTGAATGGACATTTGGGTTGTTTCCAACTTTTGGCTATTGTAAATCATGCTGCAGTGAACATTGCTATACAAGTATCTGTTTGAGTCCCTCCGTTCAGATCTTTTGGGTATCTACCTAGGAGTGGAATTACTGGGTCACATGGTAATATATTTAATTTTTTGAGGAACCGCCAAACTGTTTTCCATGGCAGCTACACCATTTTACTTTCCCACCAGCAGTGGATGAGGGCTCCAGTTTCTCTACATCCTTGCCAACACTTACTGTTTTCCTTTGTTTTTTTTTTTTTAATAATGTAACCATCCTAGTGGGCGCGAAGTGTTAAAGTCTTCTTTTAACCACCAGTTCTAAAATTTAGCTACAGTGAACCTTAACTGAGATCTTTTCATTTATTGCGCTAAACACACAGTGGATCCTTTATCTATAAATACTCAGATTGTCTTTTAGTTCTGGGATATTTTCCTGCATTATTTCCTTCATAACCACCTTCCCTGTCTTTTCTCAGTTCTCAGTTCTCAACCTCCTGTGATTCTAGTCAGATATTTGACCTCCTAGATTCATCTTCTACTTATATTTTCTTTCATATTGTTGATCTCTTTATCTTTTGTTCTACATTTTAGAGGATTGTCCAAATTTTGTTTTTCACATCATCTATTATTTCAGTAATCATATTTGCATTTCCACAATGATTTTTACGCTCATGATTGAGTTTTTTTTGTAATAGCATATTGTTTCATGAATGCAATATCTTTTTACTTACTCCCCTGAGAATATGATTTTTTTTTCCTTAAGTTTTCTTCTTCATCGGTATTTTAAAATGAGGCACTAAAGAGCTAATTGGAATCTCTGTTCATGACCAGAAGTGTCAACAGCTGGGCTTCATTTTAGGGACGATCCTGAAATGTCAGCATCTATAGATAAGTTTTGGGTCTCTTGTTTAGGTTGTTTAGAAAAGAATCCTTCAAACTCCTACCTAGAAAATAATACACCAGTTCTCCGGTGTTCTGGGAATAGGACTAGAAAGGGGCTTGGGGGGCCTTACTGTTCAGTGTACATTCTTTGGTCTGTTGGGTCAGAAGGGAACTGATAAATCAAATGAGTTTATTCAATACCATGTTTTACTTTAAGTTAAGGCATGTGATACTTCCATTTTTAACTTAGGTTCTATTGATTTTTTTTTTTTTTTAATTTGTTGCTGTGTATATACACAGCAAAACATACACGAGTTCAACAGTTTCTACATGTGCAATTCAGTGACATTGATTACATTCTTTGAGTTGTGCAGCCATTCTCACTCCCCTTTTTTGAGTTGTTCCTCACTCATTAACATAAACTCATTCCCTCTGAGTTTCCTGTCTAGTCTTTCCAGTTGCTGTTGTCAATTTGATCCCATGTAGATAGATCTCAAAGGAGCACAATGCTCAAGGCAAACATTCTTTACTAGTTAAGTTAAACTGTTGTTTATTTTAAGAAGACTTTTGGGGAATATTTTGATTTAAGGTTTAAAAACAGAATTTCAAATTCTCATGGAATCCAAACTCTGGAGTCATGGAGGCTGGATGAAACTGTGAAACTATCATTCTTCATTTTTTCCCTTTTAATCAGGATTCTTCTACAGAATCTTTGATCAAATGGTCAGTAATGGTAGCCAGGCACTATCTAGTTCTTCTGGTCTCATGGCAAAGGAGGATTCAGTTGTTCATGGAAGCAATTAGTCACACATTCCGTATCCTCCTGTTTCTGACTCTCCTTCCTCTGTTGGCACCAGGTGAAAAGAGACCAGTTGTTGTGCTTTGGATGGCCGCTTACAGGCTTTTAAGACCCCAGGCACTATGCAACATACTAGGAGAACAGAAGTATTAAATATGTTATTAGGCCAGTTAACTGGGATGTCCCATGAAACCATGACCCTAAACCTCCAAATGAGGGAGGTTCTGTTGATTTTTAAGTATACCAAAATTTCAGAACCACTGCTCAGAGTTACCCTGGTTCAACAGAGACAAAGATTATTCTTGGTTCAGCTTATGTTTATGAAATAGCTTAATCTGAGGTGGTCTGAAAGTACATTCTTTTTAGAGCTAGGAACCATACCCATGTCCATCCACTACAGGGTAGAGTACTCCCAAGATTGACTTGAACATCTTATTGGTTCCCCATTGAAAAGCTAGACTAAAGACAGCCTGCTCCAGTTCTAGACACATAGTTGGCACCAGATATACTTGAAGATTGATTGATACTAATGTAGATCATATGGCCTGCCCTAGTGAGAACTTAACCGTGGAGCTAAGACTTTAAATAAACCAACTTCTAAGAATGAGAAGACAGGTGATCTATTGCTGGGGGAAAAAATCCCTAGCAACTATTTTACTGTTTTGTCAGATACAATCTTAGTCACAGTCTTAAACAAATTCAAATTGTCTAGCCAGTTTGAAATTCAAATTTCATTTCATTTGGAATTTCATTTGTTCAGCCTTCTTTAAGAAGTTTCTTATTCTGGGTCCTCCAAGAAGCGGACTCCAAGATAATTCAGATTAGACATGCAAGAGATTGTCTGGTAGAAGTGGTGATGAGGCTTAGACACCCTTCAAACCTGGAACTGAACCCATTCCCAGAGATCACCTTTCAGCCAAATAATAGATAGGCCTATAAAGTGAACAGTGACAGCCGTGAGGAACATGCTCCTCAGAACAGTCAGCCACACCAGACCAAAAGAGCAGCATTTGCTCAAAAACAAAGTTCAGAAGGCAGGAAGGGGGGTGGGCAGGAAAGATGGGCAAATAGAAACAGGGAACTCAGGGAGGAAGGGGTAGACTACTGTCACATTGAGGGGATTGCGACTGATGTCATGAAACAAAATGTGTATAAATGTTGAATGCGAAACTAATTTGCTCTGTAAACTTTCACCCAAACCACAATAAAATGTTCAATAAAAGAAATAGTGATGAGAGAAAATGGGAAGGAAGCCCGAGGAAGCTGGGAACACCAGTGACCGTGATCCAGCGAATGAGAGAGGGAAGAAAGGAAGGTAGATGGCAAGGTAGGCCATAAATTGCACTGCCCTTCTGAGGAAATTAATAGGGTTGAGCAAGAGACAAAGGCACCTGTCACAGAAGTCTCATGTCTCTAAAGAAAGGAGCTACCTTGGTATCCCCGATTTCTTCACACCAGAATTGTACTCATAGTACAAACTCAGTGATAGAAATACAGTGTAGCAACTCAAGCCATCAGTCAATTACATTCCCATTATACCGCCCTTGCTGCTGCCACAGGAAGGATTAGGCAGAAAATCCAGTTCTGTGTATAACTTGGGCAAAAGCTAGTTCTTTTTCTTTTCTTTTTTATAAAAAGCATACTGATGAAGGCTAAACATAGGCTCACCATTTGATCCAGCATTTGCACTCCTAGGTGTTTACTCAAGTAATGTGAAAACATATGTCTGCATAAAAACTTGGACATGAATGTTAATAGCAGCTTAATTTATAATTGCCAAAAAATGGAAGTAACCAAGATGTCCTTCAATAAGTGAATGGATAAACGAACAGTGGTACAGGCAGTCCCTGGTTATGAACAAGATCCGTTCCTAAGTTTATCTTTAAGAATTTGTAGGTAAGTTAGAACAGATGCATACAGCTCTTATTTAGCCTTACTTTAGTGCAAGAAAAGGCTGAAGCCTTTCCAGTGATGTAAAAGTCTCATGTGCAGCAAGCGAAGATGATTGTAATAAAGAATTTGTTGCAGTAGGGATTGGTTCAGTCGTTTCACAATGAGGGCGTATTTACGTAACATTAAAGGGCATTATGGACAACGTCAAAGTTGTCCATAAGTCGGATGTTCGTAACCCAGGGACTTATTGTATATCTATACAAAAGTATTATTCAAGGATAAAAAGAAATGAGCTATCAAGCCACAAAAAGACATGGAGGAGCCTTAAATGTACACTGCTAAGTGAAAGAAGATATTTCAAAAAAGCTACATACTTTATGATTCCAACTATATGACATTTTAGAAAAACCAAAACTATAGAGACAGTGAAAAGATAGTTGATGCTGGGGGTCAGGGAGAGGGGAGAGGTATGAATAGGTGGAGGACAGGACATTTTTAGCACAGTGAAACTATTCTGTATGATACTCTAATGGTGGACATGTGACATTAGGCATTTGTCAAAACACACAGAACTATACAACACAATAAGCGAATGCTAGTATAAGTATAGACTTTAGTTAATAATAATGTATCAATATTGGTTCATCAAGTGTGACAAATGTACCACAGGAATACAAGATGTCAATAGGAGAGATGATGTACAGTGAGGAGATATACAGTAACTCTGTATTTTCTGCACAGTTTTTCCGTAAACCTAAAACTGCTCTAAAAAATAAAGTATTTTTAAAGTATACTAATGTTTAACTTATATTGCTATGAATCAGTAACATTTCTTCCATAATTGTGGAATCATAACTAAGATTAAGAATGCTTTGTCCTCAGAACAGAATTTCAGTTCTCATGGAATCCAGACTTCCTAGAGCCATTGAGGCTGGATGAACCCCAAAACTATGCTCTGAGATAATCTTTAAAACTTAAACCAAAAATATTCCCTGAAGTCTTCTTAAAACCAACCAATAATTTAGTTTAACTAGTAAAGAATGTCTGCTTTGAGCATTGTGCTCTTTTAAGAACCATCTGTATGGGATCAAATTAACAAGAGCAACTTAAAAAACTAGATAGGAAATTTCCAAGGCAGGGAGTTTATGTTAATGAGGGAGGAACAACTTGGAAAAGGGGGGTAAGAATAGTTGCACAACTTGAAGAATGTAATCAGTGTCACTGAATTGGTACATGTAGAAATTGTTGAATTGGTATATGTTTTGCTGTGTATATTCCAACAATAACAACAAAAAATAAACTATAAAAAAAGACCTGCAGACTATTCAAAAATAACAAAGTGTGGCTATTCATAAATTAGGTTAATCAGAAGACTAATTGTGTAAGCATTGCCACAGTCATCCAGTTTATCTTATTTACATAGATGCAACAGCAAATGACACTGAAGCAACCCAAACTGAGAGGAGTTTAAGAACTAGGCATTCAGCCTACTCTGTATGATTCAAGAGAAAATAATATAGTAAGCTGCATTGTTAAAAAAAGAAAAAAGAATGCTTTGTCCTATATATTTTGGCTTAATTTTAAAAACTTTTTTTAAATCTTTGTTTTCAGCACAGATTTCTTTTATTCAAGATATTGGAAGGCTTCCTCTGAAGCGACACTTTGGAAGGTAAGCTGATTGTCCTAATTTCCAAAGATCTGTTATTGAAATGTCTGCTGATTATGTTTGTTTATTCAGTGTACATCAATAAATATTATCGGTAAAATCTAAGAAATACATGTTATGTGTTCAGTTATTAAAGTAATTGTATTAGAGACTCATTTTAGTATTAACTGTAACAGCATATTTTCACCCACTCACAGTGGAGTATATCAGACCAAACAGAATGATGGACTCACAAGTGCAAAGGAATCTTTTAAATCCTCTAGTTCAACAAATCTTGCAAATCTAGAAACCCCTTTTCAGCTTTTCTGGTTCTTAGCCTATGCTTCAAGACTTCCATTGGCCAGGAATGTTAGCACTGTCCTTTTTATTTCATTATCATAGTAAATTCAGAAAATTTCAGATAAACCTTCAAGACTGTGGCCCTTAGACACCCTTCAAACCTGTAACTGAACCCGCTCCCGGAGATCACCTTTCAGCCAAACAATAGACAGGCCTATAAAGTGAACAGTAACACCCATGAGGAATGTGCTTCTCAAAACAGTCAACTGCACTAGACTAAAAGGGCAGCATTTGCCCAAAAACAAAGTCCAGAAGGCAGGAAGAAGCAGGAAATATGGGCGAATGGAAATGGGAACCCAGAGAGGAAGAGGGTAGAGTGCTGCCACATTGAGAGGATTGCAACTAATGTCACATATATACATTGTTGAATGGGAAACTAATTTGCTCTGTAAACTTTCACCCAAACCACAATAAAATGTTCAAAACAAAAATTTTTTTTTCAGATAAAGGGAGAAAATATACACACACACGCATACGCATGTGTATACACACAAATATATATACTATTCACTTTGTTGCAAAATGGCCTCTGGGCTAATGTCACTGTTTAACACAAAACCTATATTTTCTGTTCTACGTAGCTCATTTTTAAGGTGGAATTAAGCAATCAGGCATTTTTTAAAGATTTTAAAAAGAGGTTGCTTGCTTACTGTTTGCAAAGACCAAAAGCAAATGATAGAAATGGCATCTATTAACCTTCCTGTCTGTTCTCCTATTCCTGGCCCCAAATGGAAAACTTTTTGTTCCGTGGGCTTTGTTTTTTTTTTGTTTGTTTTGTTTTTTTTTCATTCCTTTACCCTCATAGATTCAATTTAAGGCCTTTCTAGTGTTCATGGTCCTTTCTGGATTATGGCTTATCTATGTAGAGCCCATCTTTCCTATTTCAGGAAGACAGTAAGCAGTGGAGATGGATCTTAAAATATCATCCCGCAGGAATGAGGTTAGGGCTCAGACCTTTTGTAAACTGTGGTTTTCCCTTCCCATCCTTCTCAGCAAAGCTGGAGTAGCTGTCTTAGCTGCTCTTCCCTCCTCCCCTGCCCCTCAAGATTGTGACATCAAAATCAAGGGATTTTATTGTCTTATATCCTGCTAATGTGCCATTAAAATAATGAGTCTTCACTATTTTATTATTGGTTCAGCTACTTGATCTGACTTGAGGCAGGATTTCTCGGTACTGCACATCACAGTGACTAGTACTGCTATCTTTCATTTATGTCAATCATGTTTAACATCTTTGACTCATATTGATAGTATTTAATAGCTGCATAGTTTTCTGTTACTCAACCTACACCTTATTTTTTACAGTTAGCTTGTTTCTAACTTGTATTATCAGCCTTGTAGCTAAATCATTATACACATCAAATACTATTTACCTAGAATGAATTCCTAGAAATTAAATTGCTTCAACAGCAGGTTCACCCTTGTTGAGGCCTTTGTTCTGTATTACTAGATGTCTTCCAAAAATATTTTACAGATTTTATGCTTACTTACAGTGTATGAGTATATTCTTTGCCCCTAAATCCAAGACTGGGTTTTATAATTGTAAAAGTATCTTTGCCAGTTAAGAAGGTGAAAGAAGTAGCTCATTATTTTAGTTTGCATTTTTTAAATAACAAATTAGCTTGAGTAGCAATCCGTTGGTATTTCTTTTGCAAGTTGTCTATTCATGTTCTGTGCCTATTTTTTTAATTATATTTAATTTTGTTTTTAATTTGTGAGAGCTCTTTATTGTCATGAATTAACCCTTTTGTATTTTACATTGTAAGGATTTATTCATAGATTGTCATTTACCTTGTAGTTTGTTTATATTGTTAAACTAAAGGGCCTGGCTAGGCATTGGGCACAATGAAGGTAAATGGAAGACCAGAGGAGATGAGTTCATAATGATCACACTCATGGTTTAATTTAACAGAATCTCCTATTTTGGTTGTTATTATTAATACTTGCATTATGAATCTGCAGATTGAAAATGGAAGCCCTGACCGACAGGGAGCATGGAATGATAGATCCTGACAGCGGAGATGAAGTCCAGCTTAACGGAGGACAGCCTGCAGAGGAAGCTCAGGATGCACCCCCTCAGACCGCGGAACCCGAAGCCTGGTCTCTTCCTCCGAGTCAGAATAGTGGGAGTGAACTGCCTGCCAGCCAGCCTCAGCCCTTTTCAGCCCTAGGAGACATGGAAGAAGAAGACATGATCATAGAAGACTATGAGAGCGATGAGACATAGAAACCAGCCTGCCAGTCAGATTGCTACTTGACAGATTTGTTTTAGTTTTATTCAGTAAACTGTGAACAGAGTTGATATACATTTCAGGTGAATTACAGACACACTGTTAATTCTTCACTCTTGTAGTATTTCATCACAAGGAACTGACTGTTCTGTCATCTTGAAGTAAATAGAAGACCAAGCCTTCAAGTAATCTCTTAATTTTTTCTCTAGTATTTATTTAGTCTTGTGAGTGGTATACAGAGAAGAGGTCAGTGTGTATGAAATGTGTTTGAATGCTATGCCAAATAATCAGAAAATGTGGAAGAATAATTCAGAATGTGAAAACTTTATGGGAGGTTGTACATATGAATTATAAAACAGGTCAGGCTGCAATTATGAGTGTAAATAAACTTTGTGCCTTATTTACAGTTACTCTATGGTCTCTAGCTTCTGAGACACCATTTTTTACGTTGTACAGTAGAATATTTCAGATCCATTTTGGAAAATATTTACATAATTTATATCAAAATTAAAACGTTGAATTTCATTTTGTTTCTCCTATCTTTTAACATTTCCTAACATGCACTAGCAGAGCCCTGGTGGAGAAGTGGTTAAGGGCTGTGTCATGGATTGAATTACCTCCCCCAAAAAATGTGTGTGTCAGTTTGGCTGGGCCATGATTCCCAGTATTGTGTGATTTTCCCATTTGTTGTAAATCCTGCCTCTATGATGTTAGTGAGGGAGGGTGGGTGGCAGTTGTATTAGTAGGGCAGGATTCAATTTACAAGATTGGATTGTGTCCTGAGGCAATCTCTTGAGATATAAAAGACAGGAGTGAGCAGTGAGACTTGGGGGGACTTCACACCATCAAGAAAGCAATGCCAGGAGCAGAGCGCATCCTGCAGAGAAGCTCCTAGTCCGGGGGAACATTGATGAGAAGGCCCACACAGAGAGAAAACCTTCGCCTGGAACTGATGCCCTGAATTTGGACTGTTAACCTCCTTTGCTGTGAAGAAATAAATTTCTCTTTGTTAAAGCCATCCACTTGTGGTATTTCTGTTGTTGCAGCATTAGATGACTAAGACAGGCTGTTAACTAAAAGGTCGGCAGTTTGAATCTACCAGCCGCTCCTTGGAAACCCTATGGGGCAGTTCTACTCTGTCCTATAGGGTCACTGAGTAGGAACTGACTCCAGGGCAGCTGGTTTTTTTTGTTTTTTTTGGTTTAACATGCATTAAAGGAGCCCAGGTGGCACAGTGGTTAAGTGCTGGGCTGCTAACTGAAAGGGCAGTGGTTTGAACCAACCAGCCACTCTGCAGGACAAAGATGTGGCAGTCTGCTACTGTAAAGATTAAAAAAAAAAAAATGCTTTGAGTGGTTTCTGACTCATAGTGATTCTATAGAACAGAGGAGAACTGCCCTGTAGGGTTTCCAAGGTTGTAAATCTTTATGGAAGCCGACTGCTACATCTTTCTCCTGAATACCTGGTGGGTTCCAACCGCTGATCTTTCGATTAGCAGCCAAACACTTTAACCACTGCGCCACCTGGACACCTCTATGTAAAGGTTATAGCCTTGGGAGACGCTATGGTGCAGTTCTACTCTGTCCTATAGGGTCGCTATGAGTCAGAATCAACTAGATGGCATGAGTTTTAGTTTAACATGCACTATGTGCCATCTGTGAGGGAGCTCAGGTGGCGCGGTGGTTAAAGCAATCGACTGCGGGAGAAAGATGTAGCAGTCGGCTTCGTAGGGATTTACAGCCTTGGAAACCCTACGGTGTCATTATGAGTCTGAATCCACTCCACGACAGTGGGTTCTTATCTGACATCTGTAGTTAGGCATAGGTAGTACACAAGTCTTCATCCAGCGTCAGACTTTTTCAAAAGATAGTGAAGAAAGAGGATGGCAACCTTGTGCGAACTCTGGAGGGCTGGTTCCTATACTTAGCTACCTTAACCGCAGCCCGATCTTTGAGCTGGTTTGTAACCATTGCTGTGAGGCGCAAGCAAAACCCATTGCTGTCTAGTCGATTCCAAAAGTAGAGCTGCGCCGTAGTTTCGAAGGAGCGCCTGGTGGATTCAAACTGCCGATCTTCTGGTTAGCAGGGTAGCTCTTAACCACTATGCCACCAGCGCAAGCAGGTGGGGCCCAACGCTGGAGTCCGGGCCTGACACAGCCGGGCGGGGCAAAGCTGGGCTCGACCGGCCCCGGCCCCGCCCCGGGAGCCAGAGCCCGGTTTCAATCCCCCCGGCGACGTGCGCGCGCTTCCTGTGGCCGCACAGGTGAGTGGGGCCGAGGGTGTGTGGCGCACGTGACCGGGACGCGGGGGCGGGGAGGGGCCTCGGGGCCCAGCTGCGCGCGTGAGGGGAGGGGGTGGGACGCGGCCCCTCTCCACTGCCCCACCGGCCCCCTCTGAGATTCCTGGGGCGGCCGGCGCTCTCTGCTAAGCCCCTCCATAACCAGCAGCCGAGGCCGCACCGCCACAGGCGGGCTGGCCGGACGCCAGCACGGTAAGGAGTGACGGGCTCCGGGGAGCAGGGGTCCTGGAGGCCAGAAGGGGCCCCGCATCCAGCCTGGTTTCATTAACCGAGCGCAGGTGTGCACGACGCGGGCGCCGAGCCGCTGCCCTTCCGTGTGCTCCGGGCGGGGCGGGGCCCGCGCTCTCGCTGGGATCCTGGCTCTCCCAAGCCTGGGCCTGGTTAGCCTGATCTGCAGGGGTCTGGCCGGCTTATTTCCGGCTGCCTTGGGGTGGAATCTCGAAAGACTAATAGAGTTGAAGACGGAACACTCACCTAGGATGTCAGAACAGGGGACGGAAAGGAACTTGTGGGAGTGGGCGCCGAGAATCGGCAGAGACCCCAGAGAAGATGCTCAGTATCCAGTGGTCGTCGCCGTTTAAGTTGAAACCTGCAAAGAGGCTTTCGTCCTACCTCCCGGAAGCCCAGAAATAGCTGGAGTCTGCCCTTCTCTTCGTCCCAGCAAAACTTTACAATTAAAGCAGTGATTCCGTTTAAGGTGACCAGGCACGATTCATGTGATACTTTGCTTTGGGGAGCCCTTTCTCCTGCCACCCCTATGGCTTTCCAAGATATGTGTCCCAAGAGGATGGAGTCAGGTTCCAAGGGCTTGAACAAAACAGACTAACTCTGCCTCTGTGTTGAACCTAAGCGGACACTCAATGACATCATAAAAACTACTAGGGGTATCTATATTTTAACCTGTGATAAAATTCAGCTGACATTCCCTTCTTGAGAATCACATATTTTGCTATTCCACAATTCTTCAAATGATAATTTTTTGCCTTTTATTTAAACATTGATAAGGGAGTCTTTAAATAATAAGCCACTTTTCACAAGTGAAGATGAGTTGAATCCATTATAATGAATCACTTTCACCAGTACGTTAAGCAATGAGGTATCCTGTAAAATACATATAATAGCATAGATTTTGAGAAATATGTAAAACTTGAAAGAAGCTGTGGTGGTGCAGTGGTTAAGCCCTCTGCTAACTGAAAGGGTCAGCCGTTCAAACCCACCAGCCGCTCTGCGGGAGAAGGATTTAACAGTCTGCTTCCCTAAAGATTTACAGCTTTGGAAACCCTATGCAGTAGTTCTGCTCTGTCCTGTAGGGTGGCTGTACTGACTAGATGGCAGTGGGTTTGGTTTTAGTTTTATGTAAAACTTGCTTAAGTTATTTGTTGTGCTTTTGCTTCTACATTTATTAGAAATGTGTGTTTAAAAAAACTATGGTAATACTATTATTCTCAATCTTCACTTCTAGAATTTAAACTTTTTTTAGACAATAGACTCTAAAGAAACAAAAATAATTGCTGTCATTTATAGAGCTCTGTTGTGGGCACCATGCTAGGGCTATCATAGTTAATCCTTTAACATTGGAGTGTCCCATTAGAGGACCCTGGCATTCCATCTTGGACAACTTCTCCATCTACACCCATTCTCTTGGCATTATTTGTCCTGTGTGTAGACTAGGAGTCCCTGAGTGGTGTAAAAGGTTAACGCGCTCAGCTGCTAACCTAAAGGTTGGAGGTTCAAGTCCACCGAGAAGCACCTTAAAAGAAAGTCCTGGTGATCTACTTCCAAAAAATCCACCATTAAAAACCATATGGAGCCCAGTTCTGCTCTACCACACATGGGGTTGCCATGAGTCAGAGTCAGTGGCAACTGGTGTATAACTGCCAACTTGACATCTCCACTTGGACTTCTAACAGATATCTCAAACTGTCTCCAGCCTACTTCTCCCCGGGACTAGGCTGGAGGGGTAGAAAAATGAAGTATTTGCAAATGAAATGATCTGATGTCTGGGATTTGCTTCAAAGTAATTTATTGGCAGAGGGAATAAGGTAGGGGGTATAGCTGAAACAAGATTGGCCATGAGTTGGTAATTACTGAAGCTGGTTGATGGGTACACAAGAAATCACTTTTACCAGTAAGTTAAATTAAGCAATGCGATGTCCTGTAAAATGCATACATATAGTATCATAGATACTGAGAAATGAATAATACATACTATTCTCTTTACTTTTTATGTTTGAAACTTTCAATAGTAAACCTAGCAGTTACATTAACAAATGTTTCTTCCCTTTTGTATATGTGTCCAGGTCCTTGATTTCATGAAGTGAATCAACAGGTTTAGTAAAAGTGCTTTTTCTATGGTTTTATTTTTTTAAGTGTATTGAACACCCTCTATAGATAGTCTTTGTCCCTCCATCTCAGACAACAAATCAACTTTAGATAATTACCTTGTAAGGAATGATATGTGTGGTCATTGCTGCTGCTTTATGTTGTACCTTCAGGGAACCTTATTCTTCAGTGATTTTTATCTCTTAAGAATTCTGTTTTAAAAATCTAGTATCAAGTGTTAATATTTTAGAGCTGAGGAAGCAACTCTTCTCCTGATTTAGGAAGAGAAGGGTCTCTTCAGTGCATCTGTTTTAACAGACTGCTTCTCCTTTGGTCATTCCAAAGCAGATTTGAGTTAATAAAAATGAAGAGTTTTTTTGTTTTTTTTTTTTAATGTTATTTAAAGCTTATACAAATTAGGGTGTTTGGGGAGGAGAGGAGTAAGTGTTAAAGAAATATACTGTCAAACAATAAATTGCAGGTAAAAAATAGATTTTTTAATGGACCAGCATTTCAAAATTACTTGGCAAGATTGTATTAATACTATGATTTAGAAGTGAAGTGTTTTTAATTTTTGACTCATTTTTCTATAAATATCTTTTAGTTCCTTCAAAATACTGGCTTTTATCTTGTAAGACTTGTGTGGGATAGACTAATCTCTTCTACAAGTTTTTCCAGTTCATACTAAACTAACAGAATGCAGTTTTTCCTTTAGAAAAGATGTTACTCAATCACTAAGCAATTTTCACCTTTAGAGTTCCACTCTACTTTCAGCTTCATTTACTTCAACCCAGTATTATTTTCCATAATAACTATATTTTTCCAAGACAGTAAAATCTAATGTTAAGGAGCTAACTTTATGTCTAATTCCCAACAGCAGGGAATTAACCTATTGAATTTATTGGTTTAATTTTTGAATACTCTAGAACTTTTTTCTTTTCCAAAATCTGCAGTTGTGCAGAGAAAGATACTGTGTTTGCATGTTTTGTTAAAGGCCAAACACAATGGATACTACAAGTACAAATGTCTTTCCTCCTGCTGGCAATGAAGGCTTCAGTAGCGGTTGGTGGATGATAAGTTCAAGTACTAACAGCCAGCCCGAGTATCTGTAGTTCATTAGCAGAATGTGTAAACTTCTTAAAAACAGGCAATTACTGACATAAAGGTGACACTGGAATTTTATTATATTATTTGCTTATTTCTATAAATCTACATAAACTGTAAAATAAACTAACCAAGAAAGAATAACGGGTATAAATCACTAAAGAAGTACACTTCAAAATAATTATTTTTCTGTATGGTGAATATTATTTTTTAAATATTGAACATATACCTAGTATTTTATAAAATACAAAAAGTGAATTCTTTTTTTTTTATTGTGCTTTAGATGAAAGTTTACAGCTCAAGTTAATTTCTCATACAAAAATTTATAGACATATTGTTTTGTGACATTAGTTGCAGTCCCCACAATGTGACAGCACACTCCCCCTTTCCATCTCGGGGAAATGAAGAGTATTTGCTGATCCGTCAAATTTTAGTATGTTCAAATGCAAATATTTTGATTTAGACGTTTGAGGAAAGGACTCAGGAGTATGTTAAGTGTCCTATATTGCTAAAATTTTGTTTTTGTTTTTTATATTTTCTTGTTTATAGGTCTCACAGATATACTAAACTTATTAATATTTCAACTTGTAAAATTTAGAACTAAGATTTAAATTTTTGGTTGCCCTTAAAATGGCACAGAGTGATGATTATATCCCTGGCTAACATAATTGTTACATGTGTTTAAAAATATACATAGTTATAGTATCATTTTTATAGACCATAATGACTAGAAATGATCTTGTTGGTCTCCTGAATGCAATAATTGGCTACTAAATGAATAAAAACAGCTTATGGGGCATCATTGAATGGATAAATAATGAAGCATAAGTGATAAGTTTAATCTCTGCCACAGGTGTGAAAATCACAAATGTCGTCAGATGACAGAAGATCCAAGTCTCGGGACAGGTCCTATGATCAGGTCCCAGTGGATTTGTCCTCTCAAGATGGCACCATAAGAACCCTCCAGACTCTTCATGACAGCGAGCTGGCCGTGAGCGCTGATCCTTTGCCTCCACCCCCTCTCCCATTACAGCCACCATTAGGTCCAGACTTCTACTCAAGTGACACAGAGGAACCAGCTGTAGCCCCAGATCTCAAGCCCATAAGGCGCTTTGTCCCTGACTCCTGGAAGAACTTCTTCAAAGGGAAGAAAAAGGACCCAGAATGGGATAAGCCAACATCTGACATCAGATACATCTCTGATGGAGTGGAGTGTTCACCTCCAGCATCTCCAACAAGACCAAACCGCCATTCACCCCCTAACTTCTGCAAAGATCCTCACGGAGAGTCAGAAGGAACCTTCAGTTCCCGGGAAGAGGCTGATGCAATGTTTCCCCACGATCCCTATGGATCTCTAGGCCGACACACACAAACAGCTCGAACGTACAGTGAGAAGGTGGAAGAGTATAACCTGAGGTATTCCTACATGAAGTCGTGGGCAGGCCTGCTGAGAATTCTGGGAGTTGTGGAGCTGCTTCTGGGTGCCGGTGTCTTTGCTTGTGTCACAGCTTACATTCACAAGGATAACGAGTGGTATAACTTGTTTGGATATTCACCATCCTTTGGTGTCGGAGGCGTTGGTAGCCTGGGCAGTATGTACGGGGGTTATTACTACAGTGGCCCTAAGACCCCTTTTATACTCGTGGTTGCTGGTTTAGCTTGGATAGCCACCATTATTATTCTGGTTCTTGGCATGTCCATGTATTACCGGACCATTCTTTTGGACTCTAATTGGTGGCCCCTGACTGAATTTGGAATTAATGTTGCCTTGTTTATCTTGTATATGGCTGCAGCCATAGTCTATGTGAATGATACCAACCGAGGTGGACTCTGCTACTATCCATTATTTAATACGCCAATAAACGCAGCATTCTGTCGAGTAGAAGGAGGACAGATTGCAGCGATGATCTTCCTGTTTGTCACCATGATCGTGTATCTCGTTAGTGCTTTGGTCTGTCTGAAGTTATGGAGGCATGAGGCAGCTCGGAGACATAGGGAATACATGGAACAACAGGAGGTAAGGGATTTCATAATCCTTCTTTTGTTTTTGTTTTTTTCTGTTATTTACTCTCATATTAAATATGTATATAGTTCTCAAAACAGAAAGCTTTAATAGAAGTCTTTTTTTTTTTCTTAATGATCTAAAGTTCAAAAATTCTAGTCCAGTATGCCAGACATGCTTTGACTGGGATAACCTACCCTGGCGTTTTACTTTTGCATAACATTGCAGATGTATAATATGTAGTTTGTTGGCTGCATTATTATGTGTCTGATGCTTAAGGTGAATACACACTACTGAACTTCTGCAAAAAAGAATAACATACTCGTTAAAATAACTGTCTCATTTTTAAAGTAAGTTTGAGAAGAATCTTGATTCTTTAGTATGCTAAGACTTAATTAAAAAACCATAATTTTGCAGTTACAGGAGGAAAGTACTCATTTAAATCTGGTATGATGAGTCCCACTTTCTTCCAGTGAGTTAAATAAAACCAAGTAAGAATATGGTGAACCACATTTGGTGTTTTAAGTATTGACAGGTGGAGTTGTAATGCACATGCCCTTTAAAAACGTGCCAGGGAACTTTGTTGTTTCATCCTTATTTTGAGGGGTTTGTGTGTTTCAAAATTAGTATGGGAATCTTGCAGTTGTTTTTACTTTTAGAATTTAGCTAATTAAATGTAATAATAATTATTATTACTGTTAATATGAGGAGGAAGAGAATAAATTATAATAATAACAATATATGGAAAATAAGATTATGTAAAAGCCCTATTTAACATTATTTTATTTGAACAAAATAAAATGTTGGAGTATGTTCTGCCAGCTTCAGTACACCCTGAAATAAGTTGATGTTTTCTTTTTCTAAGGAGTTGTATATAGGGGAATTTCATATGCCACTGAACACTTCAGTATTTACCTTAAAATTTTTCTTAATTTTAAGTCAACTGTCTCATGAAGTTTGCCTTTCCCACTTTCCCAAGACTTCATAGGCGGTATACATTGTTCATGGTATATATTACCAAAACCAAACCCATTGTGGTAGGGTCAATTCAAACTCATAGTGACCCTATAGAACAGAGTAGAACTGCCCTATAGAGTTTCCAAGGAGCAGCTGATGGATTCGAACTGCTGACCTTTTGGTTAGCAGCCAAGCTCTTAACCACTGTGCCACAAGGGCTCCATGGTATGTATTGGGCAAAACTATACATGACAATTATGTAAATCTTGCCCTCATTTACTCAGTAGCACACACTAGCATATATATTTTGTTTTTTAATCTTTTGCATGAATCTGATGCATAACAGCAATAAACTTCAATATTTTATAGCAAGTACTTTGTTTTATACAAAAAAAAAAACCCTCAAGATGTTTCAGTGTGATTCACACACTGTTGTCACAAAATATATTTATCTTCCCAGAACTCTATGTAGATTCAATTTATTTTTAAAAATTTATCTCAGCACTTATAATTTTTTTTATATAGATAACACATTAGCCAAGTCAACATTTTTCACATGCACAGTCAGTGACACCAATCATATCAATCATGTGCAACCGTCACCAGTATCCATTGCCAAATTTTTCATCCCCATAAACAGAAATTCAATTCAAGCATATTTCTTAAATTACATCTCTGTATACAAAGTAAAAGCCAAAAACCAAACCCATTGCCATGGAGTCAATTCCAACTCATAGTGACCCTGTAGGACAGGGTACAGCTGCCCCATAGGGTTTCCAAGGAGCAGCTGGTAGATTCAAACTGCTGACCTTCTTGTTAGTAGACAAGCTCTTTAACCACTGCGCCACCAGGGCTCCATACAAGGTAAAGAACTTTAAATTCTAATCAATATGAACTCCAGGTAGTGAAACTCATACACTTCCTCATAATTTTATGCAAGTTTAATAACAACGAAGTTCTTAATGTCACTTTTGAAACTCCACATGAATGTGACTACAATTATCAACATAATACTTCTCCCTTTTTTAACAAAAACTCATTCCTCTAAGTTTTTTCATAATGGTTGGTTAGAGTGAGTTACCTCTAATGTTGGAGGCTGTACCTGTTTGTGTGTTGCTGTAGCTTCCTAAAATTAGAAGATGTGGTGGCTTGTAGTGGTCTTCTATTAATTTTATAGTGTAACTGTCCCAAACTTTTAATCACGCAGCATAATAGGAACCAAGAATAAATAAAACCTCTAGGTAATTCAAAGCAACTCACCTAATAGTCTGCACCATCTCCATATTTCTGGCTCTGCCCTGTGCTCTTGCTTGACAGGGAAGTAGTTATCCCTCCTGGCTGGTCAAAATGTAAATTAGGAGGAACATTAAGCTCTGACATCATCCTTAAAGTAGAGAATCAGCATCTGTAGAATTGAGATTGGGCTATAAATGCAAATAAATGAAAATATTTGCAAAGCAGCTTTGAAAAATCATTTTAACTCTTTTTGTTCCAGATAAGTGAGCCATCATTACCATCGAAAAGGAAAGTGGTAAGAATAAAGTTCCCTTCATGTTATACTTTATGTCTAGATTTGTTAACTGCTTTTCTCTCTTGTCTCTTTATCTACATAGTCGTAAAACAGGTGTGAAAGTGCACCTGTTCCACTGAGTTCAAAGTTGGACTTTCAGCTTTTTTCTAATGCTAAAAGCACCAAATCAGACAAAATCACAGCTCCTTTTAATTTTGATAGATGCAAGCTTATGCAAGTAAAGGTAGTTGGTTATCTTAATATGTTTAAAATTTTATATTTTAAAAATGAAAATTATTCTCCCAAACTTTTTTTTAGTTATCCTTAAAGTTCTTTGCCATTCTTTTCTATCTTTCTCACCTTTCTTTCAGATCCAAATTTTGTAGTGTCAGGAAATTCCTTTTTCATGATTTTATTAGCTCTTTGACCATGGGCAAGTTATTCAACCTCTCCATGCCTCTTCATCTGTAAAAATGGAATAACAGTAATTTCTACCTCACTAGTCGGCTGACAGGAGTAAATGAGATGCTGTTATTATAATTATACATACTAATAATTATTAACAATCATAATTTTAACCTCATTGAAAGTTGTTTCAATGGGCATTGTATTTCTTGGCAAGTAGTTGAAACTCCGACCTTTGGGTTTGTTTGTGTCTTTAAAAGAGGAATATTCACTTAGGTCAAAATTCAGAAGGATCTAAGTTACAAAGACTTCCTTTCACTCCTGTACCTCAGCTTCCCAGTGTTATCAGTGCGTTGTGTTTCCTTTCAGAAATCTGTTATATAAATTCTCTCTCCTCCTCCTTTTATGCATATAGTAGCATATTATACACTGTTATGGCCCTTGATTTTTTCACTTAACAAGGCATTTCTAAGATGTTTCCATATCATAAAGAAGTTCTACATCTTTTTTACAACTCTATAGTATTATATGGATGTATCATAATTTATTTAACCATAAATGAATATTTAGGTTATTTCCAATCTTTCACTATTAAAACCAGTGCTACAGTGAGTAAGCTTATACATACAAGTACATACTTGAACATACATCATTCCTGAATGACAAATTCTGAGAAATTAATTTCTGGACCAAAAGGAATGTGTTTTTGTTTGTTTGTTCTTTCAATTGTCAGATTGACCAACAGCCCTGTGTGAGGGCGTCAGGCTTCCTTGGTGTGTGATGAAATTTTTTTTTCTAAATTTTATTTATTTTGTGTTGTTATTGAGAATATACACAGCAAAACATACACCAAGTCAACAGTTTCTACACATACAGTTCAGTGACATTGATTACATTCTTCAAGTTGTGCGACAATTCTCACCCCCCTTTTCTGAGTTGTTCCTCCCCCATTAACATCAACTCACTGCATCCTAAGGTTCCTATCTAATCTTTTGAGTTGCTTTTTGAGTTCCTATCTAATCTTTGAGTTTGATCCCATATAGATAGATAGTTCTTAAAAGAGCATAATGCTCAAAGGCAGACCTTTTTTACTAATTAAGCTAAGCTATTGTTTAGTTTTAAGATGACTTCAGGGGATATTTTTTGTTTAAGGGTGATGAAATTTTTTGACATTTGTCAGTCTAACGGGTGAAAAATGGTATCTCATTGTCTTCGTTATCTAGTACTGCTCAAACAGAAATACCACAAGTGGATGGCTTTAACAAAGAGAAATTTATTCTCTCACAACCTAGTAGGCTACAAGTCCAGATTCAGGGCATCATCCCCAGGGGAAGTCTTTCTCTATGGAGGATGGTCTTTGTCATCAATCTTATTGTGGCCAAGGAGCTTCTCAGCACAGGGATGCTGGGTCCAAAGGACGTGATAATCTCCTGGCTCTTGTTTCTTGGTGGTATGAGGTCCCCCTGTTTCTCTGGTCACTTCTCTCTTTTATATCTCAAAAGAGATTGGCTCAAGACACAATCCAATCTTGTAGACTGAGTCCTGCCTCATTAACATGACTGCCACTAATCCTATCTCTTCAACATCATAGAGGTGGGATTTACAACACATAGGAAAATTACATCAGATAACAAAATGATGGACAGTCACACAATACTGGGAATCATGGCCTAGCCCAATTGATACACATATTTTTTGGGGACACAATGCAATCCATAACTCTCATATAGTTATAATTTGCATTTCTCTTATCAGGAGTGATGTCGAGCATCTTTTCATGTGTTTGCTTGTGTTTCCTTCCCCACTAACTGTGTATTCATGTTCTAGTTTTTCTATTGGGTTGTTTATTTGTACGAGTTCTTTGTTAAATGCATACATTTTGAAAATATCTTTTGTAAGTTTCCTTTTAACTTTATTCTGTATGTTATGAAACACCCATATCATTTGAAAATGTTTTATTCATGCTGAAATAAGGAATTTATGAAGTGGTTGAAGAGTCTGTCCAGTGGATCATGATTAATACATTGTAGTCATCATTAATTAATTCATTCAAGAAACATGAACCAGCTGGGCTATGGGCTGGTGATAGAAATACTACAAGGAGCATCATCTCTGTTTTCCAGGGGCTTACAAATCTAGTGGAAAAGAAAAACGCATAGACAGATTAGCCAAGTGTAGTGTCTGTGTGCTTGTGTAAGTATGAATTTGTGTGTATGTATATGAGAGAAAGGGATCACTAAAGACTATAAAATTAAACTAAATAAGTTGCTTAGAGATTTGTGTTTCTCTGACATCTCTTGGGGAAAGGAGTTTGTGAATGACAGTGTCTCAAATTCTGCATGTTTATTGGCCAAAGCATCCCTTTGGGATATGTTATTAGCCACATTTTTTAAAGATCAGTTACATTAAATGATTTCTGACATGTAGGTGCAATCATCTGAATTACAGTTGAGATGATTCAGTGACTTTGCAGATTTTTTTGGGTATCCATAAATCTTTAGAATTGAAGACATACCTGACCAGGTGTGGGACAGGTGAGGCTGGTATCAGCTGGTCTACAGAATACTGAAAAGCTCCTTTCTGAAGGCAGTGTGGGACTCGTGCTACAAATTCTGTATTCTTTAAACACTGTCCATAGAATTAAAACGGTCCTACTTTGTGTGTGTTTGTTTGTTTGTTTTTGTGTGTGTGTGTGTGTATTTTATCATACTTCGTTTTAATCTCCTGATTCCTATATCCTTGTGTTTTAATTTGTTTTATGGTCATTTAATTATTCAATATTTATTGCTTTTAGGATACACATTTCAGTTACACTTGTTTTAACTCAATGACAGTGGTATTAGCGATCAAAGTAAGTTCAATGAAGATGCTCATTTTTAAGCTGTCTAAAATATACATATCAATGTACCTAAAACTGATAATGTTGTAGTTAGGTGGTATCAAGTCATTTTTTGACTAATGGTGACCCCATGTGACAGAGTAGAACTGCCCCATAGGGTTTCCAAGGCGGTAATCTTTATGGAAGCAGACTGCCACGTCTTTCTCCCATGGAGCAGTAGGTGGGTTCAAACCACTCACTGACCTTTCGGTTAGCAGCCAGGCACTTAACCACTGCGCTAACAGGGCTAACTGATATGATTGCCTTGTAGGGGAGCAGCTGACTAACTAGGTGGACAGTAGAAAAGGGAGACTTTTCATTATGTACCCTTCTGAATTATATGTTGTTGTTGTTAGGTGCCATCCAATCGGTTCCAACTCACAGTGACCCTACATATAACAGAACGAAACAGTGCCTGGTCCTGTACCATCCTCACAATCATTGTTATGCTTGAGCCCATTGTTGCAACCATTGTGTCAATCCATCTCATCAAGGGTCTTCCTCTTTTTCACCAAAACCATATGTATAACCTATTCCAAAAATTTTAAAGTTTTTTAAAAATTAAATTAATAAAATGTCCATTTCAAGTATTAAAATAAGCAATATAAGACTGATGATTAAATAATAACACTAGCCCTTTGTTTGAGATTTAAATACAACTTCCCTAGACTTATCCTGTGGGCTGCCTTTCAGTGTTAATACAGAGACATAAGGGAGTTTGACCATTGGAAAGAGCAGTCTTCCCAGTTGGGGGTCATTGCGATGGTGCCTTTGGTAGAATCACTGCCAATACTCTCAGTCAAGATTGTCAGTATTGCCTTAACCATTGATAAATCCCACCCCCTCAGAGGTACTGACCAGGAAGCTCATAAAATCTACCTGACTGCCATTGCTACATTAGAGCCCAATGAGAGTCCTAAAATAATATTCATTTCATGAAAAATATCATGTTTAAAAGGACTTCGGTTTAGAAGGTAGAGTAGAAAGACTGCGAATAATGGGAAAAAACAAATCAGTTGCCCTCAAATCAGTTCCAACTCATGGCAAACCCATGTGTGCAGAAGTAGAGCTGCTCCATAAGATTTTCAAGGCTGTGACCTTTCAGAAGTAGATCGCCAGGCCTTTCTTCTAAGGCACCTCTAGGTGGGTTTGAACCACCAACCTTTCAGTTACTAGTTGAGCACTTAACTGTTTACACCACCCAGGGACTTCTATCATAGTAAAACCAAAAGCCCATTGCCGCCGAGTCGATTCCGACTCACAGCCGCCCTATAGGACAGAGTAGAACTGCCCCACGGGGTTTCCAGGGAGCAGCTGGTGGATTCGAACTGCCAGGCTTTTGGTTAGCAGCCGAACGCTTAACCACTGTACCACCAGGGCTCTCCTATAATAGAAAAGGGGCCTAAAAATATTCACATAAGGAACTTCTGTTTCTAAAAGCTGTCACTCTTCTTAGCAGACAATGTCAAAATTTGATATCAGGGTTAGACAGCCAGAGTGCTAACATTAGGAAGTATGTTTCAATACATCCTTGGAGGCAGAAGAGAAGACTCCACTTGCTTTGGGAGGTTAAAGGTGTACAGTTTTTCAGTTGTTGATTGCTCAGCACCAGGCTGGACAGGGCTGTCTCACTGGGCTGCAGTGTGGCCATAATGTAGCAATGGTGGTCATTCGTGGCCAAGTGGAATTTATGGGCTTCCTGGTCAGTCCCTCTGAGGTAATGGGATGTGCCAGTAGG